TATCAAAGACTTTCCCTCTAAATTTCTTGCCTGCATCTCACATTTAACTTAAAAGTTGTATGCAGAATTTTAAGGCTGCTCTTTGTGCATTTATATCAATATTTATAGATGATACATTATTTGGAGGAGAAAATAATGCAAATTATCCATTTTTGTAAAGACAGAATTCTAAGAGGAAGAAAGTGGGAAGTTTGCCAGTAGAATGCTGATATCTGGCTAATAACTCACTGTATGTTGATCTTGACTCAGGTTTTTCCTAGCTTTAATAAATCTGTGATGCTTGCAGGAACTAGTCAAATTGGTACATATGATTTGTAATTCTGAAATCACTGTTACTTCCTCTGAGAAGCCATGTCTATGCATGTAAGTATGTTACAGTGGGGCACTGTCGTCAGAATTCTTTCATTTAATACATGATGATTAAAATGGAATAACAACATTTTTCTTCATAGAACAAATCATCTGTTGGGTGCCTTGATTTAACATTTAACTTTTAACTGTTGGCAGTCTAGCAGATCAGTGAGATTATGTATTTGAAAAATAATCCAGTTATAATGGTATTTGAGAGAGGATATTTAGGGTTTTTTTTTTTTTTCTCTCTAACTCCATATGTATTTGAAGAAGCAAGTCATTCTGCAAACAGCTGTTTCTCTTAAGATACTGTGGCTGACAAAGGGTAATTTGCAGCCTCCCAGGTTCCTTTTCTTATTCTGATGTATGGTAGGGCTTTTTCTCATGAACATAAAGTACATTTCACAGGGTTTTTCTATCACCCAGTGCCTGGGAAGTCTTGTGTCTGACAGACTGACTCTCATAACTCCCTAGACATAGGTGGGATTTGAATCTCTACAATGAGACTTTTCTCTCTTAGTCAAAGGCTTTGTATTCATTTGGGAGAAGCCTGAAGGTAGGAAAAAGGTAATAGATTGAATTTGGGAGGCTTTATAAATGTTCTGCAACGTATCCCTTTGTCTGTCATCAACTTCTTGATGCAGATGTACTTCAGAAATGTCATCGGTCATTTTCTCCCCCTGCTTGCTGCTTTTTGAGTGCATTTTTCAAAGACAGTCGATGGGAAAGGGGAGTTGGAAGATTCGTATGATTCATAGGTGTAGTAGCACTTATTTCAGCAGAGAATCACTTTCCTATTGAATCACTTTGCTATTTTCTTAACTCAGTAACACAGTGAAAGACATGTTTTTTAAGTCCAAAAGGAAATGGAAAAGGAGGGAAATTGAGGCAAGCATAAATGAGCTTGCACTCTAATCTCTTCAATGTTTCTTTAATTTTCAGTGTACATGGGAGGGGGGGGAGAGAGAGAGTTAATTTTCATGTCTTGACTCCCCTTAGCTGCTGATTTTAGTATGTAGCCTGCTCTGCCAGAGGATGGCGACTGTCGTAGGTACATTTACAGAGTCTTTTAAGACTTGGTCTGATACTTTGCACTAGTGTGTGCCAACTCTGAACCTGTGGGTCTAGATTGGAAGAAGGAGGACTTCGGACACCATTGACTTGGCTAGGGAAACATGAAGGGTGAATTTTCAGAGCCAAGATGGCTGCTGGGCTATCACACCAAACTGTTATAGAGCCAATGTGATAGGGTACCTTGTGGCCCACTCAGAGTGCTTAGGTGGCCTACAGAAATCATTGGAACTTTCCTAGTACAGAGTCATCGATTTTCCAAAGGACAAAAACAATAGATGATTGCCTCCTCCACTGGGACAGTCCCTCCCTAATCCCCACTCCATCCCAACCTTACATGCCTTACCAAAGCCTTAATTCTATACAAGGATTAAAAAACAAGTGTTAACAGATGTCAAAAACCAAGTTTGTTCTCTCCCAAACACCAATTAAAGTATTTTGGCCTATAATTACGTTTGGGCCTCTTGAAGAATGAATGCTATGTAGACGAGATTTATTATCACCAAGTGTTGTGCGTATAAATATATTATCCTGAGTTCTAATGTCGTTTTGAAAAAAACAGGGGCATAGTTTTCTTTTGAAATGTTGTATTCCATGGATAATATAGATATTAAATTACTTGGTCTCCTCATCTATTGTTTGGATAGAGAATGCAGATTTTTATTTTATTTTATAAGCTTTCTGGAACATAAGCAGCAGTCTCTGGTAAGGTGGTGTTGCTATGCATTTGCATTGTTATAGAATTAAATTATGGATTCTGTCATTCAAAATAGAAGCTTTATAAATCAAGTAAAATCTCATAACTAAGATGAATAAGTTTCTTTAAATCTCATGCTGCCTCATATTCCATACTTTAGTTTTATAGCCCAACTTGATATAATTTTTTAAAGTGTAATTCTCTTTTTTTCTATTTCTGTGTACTGCTTTTGCTCTGCTAAACTGTCATTATTTCCCAAGAAAAAGCTTAAGATAAGTTACTTTATGTAAAGGATAGTGATATAAAAGCACAAAGGCATGTTCACTTCTTTATCTGTATATTGGCAGGAAATGTGCCAAATACAGTGTGTTCTCTCCCTCCCTTTCTTCTTCTCTGTCTGATTACATTCAATGTAGATGATATTAAAACTCAGTTGTAACAAATGGTGAAATTCCAATTATTCTTTTTTCTTTCTTTTCTTTAACTTATCTAATGTTTGGAATTCCTGAATATGAAAGACAGTCTTAATTATATAGTTTTTGTTGTTTTTTTTTTTTTTTTTTTTTTTTTTTGCAGTGGAGTTACAAATTGTGTTCCATGCTTATGTATGCTAATTGTCTAAACAAGCTATCTAGGTGGCTCTGTAATCCTTAAGCAATACTGCTGAGCTGCCTAATTTGTTTTCCCACTACTGCTGTCTAACTACCCCAAAGCACAGGATTTAGAGTGGTGGCCCTAACCGGGAATATGCAGCAAGATGAAAAATAGTCAAATGAGAAGGAAGGTCAGTAGTAAGTTATTTAGACCTGGTTAGGCAGCAGGGTCTCCAAATGCAGCTGCAATTGGTTAAAACAAAACAAAATAAAACAAAAGATTGAAATTCAGAAGAGAGGTCAGGGGTAGAGATAGAGATTTAAGATCCAAGCAATTGTACAAATAGATGGAACTTTGAGACAACTTAGTCTCTCCAGGGAAAAGAGATTAGAGAGGAGAGCAAGAGGATTTAGAACAGGGCCTTGGGGAAATCTTTAATGTTAGGGTGTGGGAGGAGGAAGAGAAACCCTGAAGTAGAAGTATAAACTAGAATGCTTGGCTGTGGAAGTCACCAAGTGCCACTGCCTCCATCAGCTGTTAATTCTGAGCCGGATCACCTCAGTTATGTAGATGGACAGTGGAGAATCTAGGAACTGAAGATCCTTGTGACTTTCTGCCTTGCATCACGTTGGTGGGTGTAAAAAGAAGCTTATGGTTTCTCTTAGGGGTACATTTATGGGGAAAAGACCCCCATTATTGTGATTTAGCATACACAGGGGTCTGCTTACACTCATTATATATGTTGAAATTGTGTAGCTATTCCTAGGCTACTTTTAAGAATTTAGAAGGATTAGGTTAACATGATTCTTAACTCATACTACCAATAAATTATTCTTTCTCCAAGATTTGCATAGAAATACAAAAGTACATAAAACTAAGATAGCATTTGATTTTGTAAATTATTTTAATTTAATTAAATGTAAATTGAGCAATGGGAAAAACAAAAAGACAAACTCGACAGAAAACAATGATGTGTCTTTTAATCTCTCACACTGACTTTTAAGTTATACTCAGCTTCTTGACAGAGGAGGTAAAACAATAGAGCCACCTTGTCCTAGTGATCTAATATTTAAAAAGAGCAGTTGCAGTGCATCTGGGTTTGCATTATATGTAGCTCTAGAAAAGTTTTGAAGGACACATCTTGATTCTCAATGACATTATAGGAATGTTTTAATAACAACGAAACAATGGAGAAGCCATTGCATAAACTGTGTAGGCATCATAAATAAGGAAACTGCACATAGCATGTGTTGAATGAAAACACTTGGTGAACAAACTCATTTTTCTCTTGGGAACTCAGGTGGTCTAGCAGCTTGTACTCTTTGGTCCAAAAAAAAGTTGCCCCTTTGCTCCCCACCTTCCCCTCCCCCAATAACCTCATGTACTGTAAAGAATCTTAGCAACTATGGGAAATAGAATTGTTTGCAGTTGTGCTTTCTTTTTTTTTTTTTTTTTTTGAGACGGAGTCTTGCTCTGTAGCCCGGGCTGGACTGCAGTGGCCGGATCTCAGCTCACTGCAAGCTCCGCCTCCCGGGTTTACGCCATTCTCCTGCCTCAGCCTCCGGAGTAGCTGGGACTACAGGCGCCCGCCACCTCGCCCGGCTAGATTTTTGTATTTTTTAGTAGAGACGGGGTTTCACCGGGTTAGCCAGGATGGTCTCGATCTCCTGACCTCGTGATCCGCCCGTCTCGGCCTCCCAAAGTGCTGGGATTACAGGCTTGAGCCACCGCGCCCGGCCAGTTGTGCTTTCTTAAAAGGTTTATGGTGGACCTAGTAATCCAAATAAGAGAGAATCATAAGCTTCTTTGTATACTGCTCATGAGTTAAACACAGTAATGGGTCACATTGTGACAATGTGATCAACAACTAGTCCAGTGACATCCTTTGCTGCTACATAGTAAACACCATAATCAGCGGCCATGCCAGCATTTAGGTGACACCAAAAGCATGTTTGATTCCACGGACCTGACACACTATCCTGTCTTGAAAGTGCTTAACCTCAATAAAAAACATTCAATTAGCTGAGGTTCCAAAATACACTTTGGTCTCCATCATGCAAGTGATCTAAGGCCATTGTCTCCGGAACCTAAAGAACAAAATGGCTGCCAGGCATAGGGATTTATTATTTCATTAACAGACTGTCAGTGAATTTCAGGGTATTTCTCGCCTTATGTGGATTCAAGATGAAGAGTTTTGGAGCTTAGATTGTCCCCAGATAATGGAGTCCAAAATTTATCTATTTGTGTATAGTTTTAATTAAATATTTTCCCCATTCTTCATTGTTAGGGTCGGTGTACTCGAGAGAACTGCAAGTACCTTCACCCTCCTCCACACTTAAAAACGCAGCTGGAGATTAATGGGCGGAACAATCTGATTCAACAGAAGACTGCCGCAGCCATGTTCGCCCAGCAGATGCAGCTTATGCTCCAGAACGCTCAAATGTCATCACTTGTAAGTCGCAGCTATGTTTTGAAAATTGCCAATAAAGATCTACGTGGAATAACGTGGCAGGGACTTGCGGAAATTAGTTGCAACAGGATTTAGGACACAAACTAATATGTTCATTGACACTACAGAGCTGTGCACTTGAAGAGAGCAGTCAGGTGTGTTGCACTGAAAACCTGGCTGCATTTATGCATGAGTTCAGTTTATAAAAGAATATGGATAAAGGAGCAGGGGCATTTTAAGATAAGGAGAGTTGATTATTGTTACATGGAAACCTTTGAATTCTAGGACATTAAGTCAAACAAATTTTCTTGTTCTTTGATGGGGATTTTGGTGTTGTTTTGTTTTGTTTTGTTTTGTTGTTGTTTTTTGAGACAGAGTTTTACTCTTGTTGCCCAGGCTGGAGTGCAATGGTGCGATCTAGGCTCATTGCAACCTCTGCCTCCCAGGTTCAAGTGATTCTCCTGCCTCAGCCTCCCAAGTAACTGGTATTACAGGTGCCTGCCATCACACCCAGCTAATTTTTTTGTGTATTTTTAGTAGAGACGGGGTTTCACCATGTCCAGGCTGGTTTCAAACTCCTGACTTCAGGTGATCCACCTGTCTCGGCCTCCCAAAGTGCTGGAATTACAGGTGTGAGCCTGGCCTGTTGTTGCTGTTAAACAAACTTTTTATTTTGAAATAATTTTAGATTTACAGAAAAGTTGCAAAGGTATTAATAGTACAAAGAGTTCTTGTATTACCTTTCACCCAGTTCTCCCCACTGTTAACATCTTATATTACCCTGGTAGATTTGTCAAAAGCAAGAAACTGGAATCACACGTCATTACTATTGACTAAACTCCAGACTTTATTCAGATTTCCCCAGGTTTTCTATTAATGTAATCTTTCTATTCCAGTGTCTGATTCAGGGTACCAAAGTGCATTCATTTGAATTTTGCCTCACCTCTCTTCTCTGCTCTGTGACCATTTCTCAGTTTTTCCCAATTTTCCATGATCATGATGGTGGCTTTCCCTTAACTTAGCTACAGGGTTTCCCTATGCAGAAATTAGTAAGATTATGTCATTCTAGACAAATATCTACTATTTTGTGGACTTGTGAGTTTAAATGGATCCTTTATAAAGTAATTAAGCTGTATCTGTTCATATTATTCTATTGAAAATTCATCTTGTCCCTATGCCTTAAAATATAAACTTTCATTTTGCTTTTACACCTCTTAGGGTGAATTGAAAACTGTCCCTTTTCTGCTATAGTTCTTCAGGCCTCACATTTAGTTCAGTGGTGCCTCATTCTAATTCCAGCTGACCTACTTCCTTTAAACTATTAACAGGCTAAATTTGAAAATCCTGTTACCTTTATTTGTTACCCATTTAATCAGTGACTACAATGAACTTGAAAGCTGAAATATGTATATAGTATTTAGATGCAATGAAAATGTGGGAGGACAATCTGCTGTCAGTAAAACCTATCTCATTATAAAGTTGATTCTCAGAATTCAAGGATATCTGTGTTGATATGGAACCCTTTAATGAGTACATCTTTATGGATATATGCAAAAACAGATGGGAGAGGCAATGATGAATCACTAAAGGTTTGCACCATACTTTTTCCAGAATGTCTAGACAGATTTAAGTAAAATAAATAGATGTCATGTTCTGTACTATTAGTTTACCAAAAAGTTTTGCCTTGGAACTCAGATTAATTATGTTGGTAAATTAGTTCCTAGAAGGTGAACTCCTCGAAGCTCCTCTTTGACCCTCAGTAATTCTTTACATCTTTGAACTCCTTGCGCAAACGCTTTTTCTGGGCTTTCACATACTGACGTATCTCAGTCCCTCCCTACTTCTAAGGGCACAGGGAAGATAAAGTCTTTTGGATACTGAAAATTGTTATGAACAAAACCACAGAGAAGTGAACGTGCTTGGTAAGTCCAGAAAATGTGAGTGGCTGGGGAATAAAGCAAGGCAGCTTTTATTTTTTTCCCAGTTTTATTGCGGTATAATTAACAAATAAAATTGTGTATATTTTAAAGTGTACAGCATGTGATGATTTGTTAGACGTATACATTGTGAAATGAGATGACATGGATGAACTTGGCAGGCATTATGCCAAGTGAAATAAGCCAGACAGAGAAAAAACAAATACTGTATGATCTCACTCATATGTGGAACCTTGAAAAAACTGAATGCATAGAAACAGAGAGTAGAAGGGTAGTTGCCAGGGGATGTGGGTGGGAGGGGATGGGGGAAGATGTTGGTCAAAGGTATAGCAAGGGAGATTTTAACACACAATTACTACTCTCAGCTTCTCATGGGATGTCTCAATTCAAACTGAGCAAAGACTAGGAAGCAGATTTCATTATCAGACACCTGAGCCCAGTGTTTCCTACAGAGCTGGAGCGTTTATCTTTTCAAAGGTCGAGGGACAGCTTCAGGGTACTAGTGAAATGCCTTGTTTCAGGGAATCAGAGAGCAAGAAGTGGGGTAAAGTAGGGGTACAGAGGAAAGCCGTTCTATTCAGCCTCTGCTAGAGTCTCTCCAATTCAAGTCTCAACCCTTCAAGTGTTATTGATCATGCTAGCTCATACTGGAGAATAGGGAGTAGCTTTTTTGAGAATCCAATAAGAAATCCATTGTGCTTTCCAGCCTCTTCACTTGTGCTTTCTAATTTGATTCTCCATCCTTTCTATGTTAGAATACGTTTCCCTATCTTTTCTTCAATGAGGGTAATTTTAGATTTCAGATGACGGAAGATGACTGATATGATTCACAGGAGTACAATTTATTTTATAGAATGTTACAAGATACAAGGCATTACTTAGAAGACCCAAGGGAACAATTGGAAATTGCTTCTCTACCTTGTAGGTTATTTAATGATAGCTATTATGATGCGATGAGCTGCTAAATGATTAATTCCTGCAGTTATTATGTGTACAAAAATCTAACTCCAAAATGGTTGATATGTTCCTCTTCTATGGTCTAAGGAAGCCATTTTATAGGCATGGTGTAACTGAGCTAGTGTGAGCAATTTTAAATAACATTTACCAGCCTGATTTGGAAAAAAAATTTCTTTGTTGTGGATCTTGATATTATTACAGAAGTAATGTATGATTTTACTTAATTTCTCTGGTACCTACTCTCCCTCAAACAACTCTCTATCCCTTTCAATCACCGCACCCAATAATCTGATTCTTGTCTCTAAGATAGTCATGCTTTTGTTTAAGAAATTTCCAGTCCTGATATTTGTAGGGTTGTATATTAAGACCCATTTGTATCATTGGCTTGAACTTCATGTCTTTCCACAAAGAAGACTTTGATCTGTTTCTAGGATACCAGAAGAGCACATCTGCCTTTGCAGAATTGAATATGGTTTGCTTATTATAAGCCCCTAGATAAAGGGAATGTCAACCTAAATGCGATGGTACCTAGAGAACAGATTCTGTTGAGTGTAACTGAACAATGAATAAAAGCCACACCTAGTCAATTTGGGTGGAATGCTTGCTGGAACAGGCAAGTTTGTTCACTCTGTTAAACAGATCTGAATTGACATTTGCCAGTATAAAAGTCCATCTCTGAAAGATTTTTTTTGGCTTTATTAAGGAAGTTCAGCAGGTGAAACAAAAGGTGTGACTACCTAGTATTTTTCAATGCAGTTTAAAAGAGATTGTTCCTGATGTTCCCAGCAAAAAAAAGTATAAGTTGAAGTATCCCCTTGCCATAATCAGGAGGCAAATACAACCACTACAGAAGAATATTAGAAAGAGTAGGAATAGTGGATTACCCTGAAGCAAAGCTAATGTTTTAAAATTTTGGTTTTACAATTAGAAATTTTAGTTATGAGGAAAGATTCTCACTACTGGATGTGGTGTATGTATTTATAAAGTGAATATGATATTACAGGCTGTTAAAATGTTTTATTTGGACATTTTGCATATCTACACCTGTTCATATCCAAACTAAAGGAATACCTGGGAAATTCCTCTATTTTCTCTCTTTGAATGTGGTGATTCACATGGAAACAGATCCTGACACACAAGTGAACTTGACTCAGTAGAGTGTATTCATTTGATTATTTATATAGAGATTGTTGATTCAGCACATTTGAGGTTGCATTGGGGTGTGCCAAGTCCTCAGGTTCTGTTGTATGCTACTCATGGCTGGCATTCCTGTGGCTAAGTTACCAAGTTCCAAACCATGAAGGCCATAAACAAGGCTTCCTCTCTAGGTTTTCCTTTATCTCAAATTGAATCATCTGATGTCTGCCTGGATCCCCCTCCACCATTTTACATCATTATCATAATTCTATTTACCAAATATATTTCTCATAAACAGGCTTATATGTTTATCTCACATTAATGTAGTAAGGAATGAAGGTGATGTAATGCTTCAGAACCAAGAGAAAAAAATAATAGAAAGTTCAAATAGGTACGAGGAAGGGAGATATACTAATTAATGAATAATATTATTTTTAGACTCATGTTTTTAATTTTTTTTCTCTTTTACTAAAGGGCTACAAGGTGTTATATTACTTAGGTATATATTACTTATAAACTTAGGACTAGAACAATTTTAAGTGACTAGAGATAAAATTGGAAAATATTTATTTACTTTTTAATATTTATTTTTTTTGAGACACGGTGTCACTCTGTGGACCAGGCTACAGTGCAGTGGCATGATCATAGCTCAATGTAGCTGCAAACTTGTGGGGTCAAGTCGTCATCCTGCCCCATCCTCCTGAGTAGCTGGGACTACAGGTGCACATCACCATGCACAGATAATGTTTTTTAAAAAAATTTTTTGAATAGAATTAGAAATGTGATCTCACTACGTTGCCCAGTCTGGTACTGATTTCCCAGCCTCAAGCAATCCTCCTGCCTTGACCTCCCACAGTGCTGGCATGCCTGGCCTACTTTTTAATTTTTGTAAGTCAGTCGTTAAATGATATAGTACTTAAAAACAAGAGGACAAATATTCATATTAGAGTTACAGTTTTTTAGTTCATATAA